ATCTTCAGACACACAGAGCCAGCCCATGAAACGTGCCCAGCTAAGAAAAGCAAAGCATGAAAAAAGAAAAAAATCGAAACCCTGAATCCTGTTAAAAATAGGCTGGGATCTACAGAAAAGAACCTGCTTAACAGTTTTTGTCTGTGCGTGGGTCTCGTTTCAGCAACGCTGCTCAGAGCCAAACATCATTCACACAAGACCCAGCTTGTTTTGTGGATAAGGAGATGCCTACAAAAAAAGGGAGCCCTGTTTAAGGAAAAAATGAGGCGATGTCTGGTCAGAGCGCCACCAGGACATAGTTTCTGCGGGAAATTCCTCTCCGTAGAGCAATCTGTCAAAGGAGAGCCAACACGGCCCGCCGCAGGGAGCAGCTGGAGGGCACGGGCCTGGCAGGGTCCGCAGTGGTCCTTGCAGGAGAACCTGGTGCTGCATTGCTGCAGGACCTCACGCCAGCTCTGCAGGGGGAGCAGCTGGGATGAACTGGATCGATGCACATTACCCACAGACATCTCACAAGGCAGCTTGTTTCAGCATCGCTCCGGCCCCTAAAATGCACCGTTTCTCACTCTCTCCCCTCCAGGTCTCTTTTTGCCCCTTTTTAGGCAACGGTTACATTTTCAGCCATTTGTTTGGGGAAAGGAAGGCAATAAACCAAATCCCTACTGAGGCACGCAATGCATCTGGAAGAACAAATCCTACTAAGGATTGCCCTCAGCTGTAGCCAAAGAAGTCGAGCACAGCACCAAAAAAAATTTGATTTGCAAATCATTAGGACACTGAAAATTCTGCTGCTTTTACCACCACTGCCTCTGCTGCCCGTGTTTGGGGAGGATTCCCTAATCCTATAACTGCTTGGAATATCTCTCTTTGGTGATGTGCAATGGCCTCTAAACTAGAACAAAATCCTTTCTCAACTAGAACAAATCCCTCTCTAAACTAAAATTAAAACACTTCTGACCTGGATGGGAAAATACTGTCCCAGGCCTGTGACATGGCTGGTCAATCTCCTCACTTGCACACCCATGTGTATGGGTCACTTAGATAATTCAGCATCACCAACAGCACCAGAAAGTATCATACCCACTCCAGGGCACTGTGCCTGGAGTCACTTAGATAATTCAGCATCACCAACAGCATCAGAAATATCATACCCACTCCACGGCAATGTGCCTGGACACCCAAGGGAGCACTGGAGAGGGATTTGGACTTGATCCTGTAGAAATGCTTTGCTATATTAGCAGCCCAGGGAATCCTCTGAAAACCCAGCAGAATCTGTGAATGACAGTGGCCTTTCAACCGCCTTCAGAGGAACCAAGATTGCAGCAAGAAAACATCTGACTGGAATCCTCTTCTTGCCAGGAAAATTAAGCCTTACCCTAGGGCAATGGGATGAAATTGTTGTGCTTCTCCTCCTCCTCCCCTTTCCCGGGCACACTGCGCCTTTACTTTCTGTGTGGTGGAGGTGCCAGGCGAGACGTTCCTGTCACCAAGGAGGAGGTGGCTGGTTCAGGACAGGAGAACTTGGGGATCAGCTAAACCAGAGGCTGGGCCTCCACACTGGGTCTCCTCACTGTCTTCTAGCCAGAGTCACAGCACGGCGCCTTCCCGGAGCTCAACTGCATAATCCCAGCTCGCAGATCTTGAGCAGATTACAGTTAAAAATGCAACTCTATAAAGTGTATGTTATTAAGCAACTCTGTACTATGGTGATAGTATCTATGGAAATGCAACTCGGGGAGTAAATGTGGATCTGTGGAGACTTTCCTAAAGCCTGGCAGTTGCAGGACCCTGCGTAGTTTTGGGTGATTCCATCTTCTCACCTTAAAAGGGCTTTGGCTGTTCCTCTGTTTTGAAAAGTCCTGGCCTTGTTTGGATGACACACACAAAAAGACAGTCAGAGTGAACATTTAAGACTGGTTTCTCACTACAGAAAATTCAACATTGTCCTCTTTGTACAACTAGAAGGTTAACACTCCACTCACCAAGAAGACAGGGAAAAAAAATAATAGAATGACCACCATCTTTGAAAGGAATTAAAAAACATTTTTGTTAAAAACTATTTATTTTTTATAAATATAATTCTCTATTCATTACACAACATGAATCACAAAACTTTACTCATGAGAAAAATAAGATTTTTACAACTTGTTTTATAAAAGCTGAAGTGAAAAAAGAATTCCAGTATTAGCATTCTGTAAAACATATGAATAATCACACCATTGAATTCTAGAAATGCACTTGCCATTTAAAAAAAATAATTAAATTGGTATTAATAATCACTTATGGGAGAAAAAGACTGTAAGAAGTTATTCCATGGACTTGCTTTTGCAAAGAAAGGTTAATACAAGCTCTCAAGAAGGTGCATACCTCCTATTAATAGCTTTCACAAAATAAAAATAGCACTGCTTCCCTGGCTTATAGCCCAGTGGATTTCTATCGTTCTTCCTCATCAGATGTGCTGCTCATTTAACCCTTCTTGCCATCCGCAGTCCCTCTCTTGCCAATCACAAATTTTATATATTTAAAAATATTTGGGTTTCATTTGGCAAATGCTGAGTATTAAAGTGTTTAACAGGAATTGTCTGTGTAAAAAGAAAATACAGGTCTAAAAAAAACCAAATTCAAGCAACTCAGACAGCTCTGTTCACCGCAGAAAACTTGTGCCAGCTTTTACCGAGTTTTACTAAGATCTAGGATGAATTTTGGGGTGACCTATTAGGCTTCACAAATGAACCCTGTTTTCAGCTGCAAAGAACTGCAGCTGTCTGGGAAAAAACCACATGCTTCTTTAAAAGTGCAAATAAACCTCTCTTGACCAGTGTTTATTTCCAAAGCTGCCAGCCAGATATTAACAAGGAATAAGAAATAAGAAAACACCAATGCCACAGTCATCTGTGAAGTAGTAATAAATTCTGCAATTTATAACAATATATTTACTCTCACATAGATCAATTTTTCATTAAAGCTTGTTCCCTCACACCAAATACAAAAGAAGTGGAATGAAGTTAAGATGGCTATTTTTGTTTAAAAACGAAAACTGTTTGCATTTATGGAACATACCAGACCTAAAACATCTTCCTCTGCACAGCTGTTTCAGCCACAGTGGTATATTTTGGAACCAGTGTTTGCTAGCACTCATCTACGAAGAAAGTTATTCCAGAAGACTTATTCCAGTTAAATCCTAGGTGTATGCTCTTATTCCAGACATTTCCACTTGACAAGCAGGTCCTTCAGCAAGGAACCCGCAGAGCTCACCTTCCCCCTGGCTTTTCTGCACTGCTCTCCTCCCATGTGATTTATTTTCACCCTTGGGTGTTTGTGCTGGTAGTTAAGCTCGTAACCATGAAACGGGCGGGAGCAAACTTCTTCCCAACGCCCACAGAAGACGGATAACCAGGTTGTCAAACCAGACCAGTTAAGGCACTTGTGTCTCTCCTGCCTTTGAGCTTTTGAGAAAGCTGCTGCAGCACCACAAGTCCCCTCCTTTCCCATGCACGAGCCGAGCGATGCGCATCCCTGCCACTCAGCTCGGGCAAATACAGTGTGTAAAATGCAGCTTTTCTGGACCACCTGCAAGGTGGGGGAGGGTGTCTGCCAGAAATCACAGCCAGTCCCTGAGATTTTGGGCTCTTCCTGCCGCACACAGCTTCTGCTGGGTTACGTTCCCCCTGGCTCTGTTTGCCTGGGGACTGCTGGTGAGTAACAGGCTCTCTCGAGCTTGCTCACTGCGCTTTTATATGTGCAATTGGCAGAGGACAACATTTCTGATTTCTGCATTACACCGCAAGGTAACAACTCAGGAACCTGGGAGCACAGGCTGTGCAGACCTGCCCACCTTCCTTCATGTGCCATCAGACTCTAGCACCTATTTGCACCCACATTTGCATCTTCATCACTAGGATTCAGCAGCGAAGCCAATGCCTATTGCTCAGCTTTCTAAAGGAAAGTCTCCTTCCTTTCCTTTACTGCAGAACTTCAGGTACTGAAGGGGTCACCAAACTCCCAGCTCCAACTCCTGAGGGTCCCATTTTTCCCTTGTGAGGTCCAGGGATGCGATGAGCACCCAAGCCTGGCCCAGCCTCAGACCAGCCCTGCTGAAAGAACATCACAAAACCCACTCCTGCTGCTTGGCGTGGGGGTGTCACCTCCTGTCAGCATCAGGGCCCGCACCAAGCCCTCAGGTCCCATGTCAACTCAGACCCCAACATCTCCACCGGCAGCTACTTCTCTGCAGAAACAGGGCCAGCATCCACAGGAAGGAGAGAGAAATCCCCTTGAAAGTGGCCTCTGGTCCTGTGCAGAGTCCTCCCTGCTGGCAGCCAGTACCACATCCGTGTCCCATCTGGGTGCCACCCCCGGATGGGGTGAGTGAGTTTGTCTCCACATGGACCATCAGCCCAAATTCTCCCAGTCTCACTTTCCTTACCAAAAGCTGCACTCTGGTGTGCTGTGGTCATGGAGCATTTGGGGATAACATGAAAGCAGAGAGACACACATTGTACGTGGCAGCATCTGGGGATGGTAAAAATTAGGAAGAAGAGAGTGGGGTCTCTAGGTAGGACTAGATACCTCCAACCTTTCCTGTGAGCTACAGCTACTACACATTTCTATAACTGCTTAACGTTGTCCTGTCAACACAGAGATGCAATTTGCTAGTTCTGTGCGCCCAGGAGATACGTACAGAGAAAATTTCCTCCTCTTATAACTCAGTGTCCTCAAGTTCAAAGCCCATCACCACCATCCACAAACACTGTAACTACCTCAATGCTGTAATGATGGGTATGTTGATATAAAGCTGCTTCCCACATAAATTTTATAAACCACTGAATGATACTGCAAGCTTCAATTCTGAGGACAGGGAAAAGTTCATTTCGGAGAATGAGACAAGAGAAAGACAGCTAAAGAAAACATGTCTTTTCTAGCTAAACACAAAGAACTCCTCTGAACACCAAGTTTTTCCCTTAATCATTATTGCACTGCAGGCAAATAACAGCCTGAGGACAGGGAAAAGTTCATTTCGGAGAACAAGACAAGAGAAAGACAGTTAAAGAAAACATGTCTTTGCTAGCTAAAAAGAACTCCTCTGAACACCAAGCTTTTCCCTCAATAATTATTGCACTGCAGGCAAATAACAGGTCTGTGAACTGCCATATTCCTCACCCTGTCCCCATTATTCCAACGGCCTCAAAAGCGATGTGTCTTCCTTCTCCATCCCCTGTGGTATCAGCTATCCACTTAATGAAAGCAGCAAATTGCTGCTTATGAACTCAGCCTCTGCTGCTGGGCAATTAGCAGAGGCTGGGGACTGCAGTGCCCTCACAAATCAGTGTCAGCATTTAGGGGCCACTTGCCACAAAAGCAATCAGGGGGGTGTGCTCCCAGGAGGGCACAGCCACAGCCAGTGGCCGGCTGACACCAGGATGGGCTACGGGGCTACAGACCCGTGTGCCCAGACCATCATTTCACAGAGACAACAGCTCTGTCCCAGCTGGACCGAGCAGGGCAGAGGATTAACACGTTATTACCGTCTTCTAGCCTGAGAATTAAAAACAAATTTAAAAAAAAATGGCAGGTACTTAACAATCTCCCGTAGTGCCTGCGAGGTAGTTACACGCTAGGAGCCACAAAGGCGTGACAGGGAAAACTGAGGCACTTCAAGGTGAGGTAATTTGTCCAAAGTCACAGTCAGAATCCCCAGCAGAGCCAGAAGTGCAGAAATGCTGGGATCTTGGCTCCGGACACTGAGCCGAGCTCCTTTCCGGGCTCAAATGTCAGAGGCAGTGCAGGCCACGGGCTTCCCAGAAGGTTAGGAGAGTCTGTCAGAGATGAAGCTGCCTCTGGCAACAGAAAAAACACAGAAGTCGTGTAGGAAAATCCAGGCTGTCAGGGCCACGCAGAGAAGGGAGGAGGGACGCTGGGGAGACGTCACCCAAGCAGAGCTTCATAATCCACATACCACACCAGCTGGCCAGAGCTGGGGCTGACACCAGAGATAGGCCATTTCCTTGGCTGGTGGCCCACTCTGCTGAGCAGGGTGGTGATGTCGTGCTTGCCCTTCCCCAGAACCAGGACAAACACTTGCCTGGCCTTGTTGATGAGGGGCAGGCTAAAGGTCATCCTTTGGTGAGGTTTGACAGGGCTTTCAGTCAGCACCACAGTCTGAGCCCCTTCCAAGCCATTTTCAGACTGGGGGAAGAGCGAAGCAGTGTGTCCATCAGTGCCCACCCCCAGCAGCACCAGGTCAAAGCTGGCATTGGCCACCAGGGCCATGATCTCCTTGGCATACAGCTCCGTTCCTCTGTCCTCCTCCACACAGAGCCGCTGGTTCAGGTGGACGGGCATGGGGTGGACGTTGAAGTAAGGCACCCTGACGTTCTGGAGGAGGTGGTTGTGCACGCTGAAGAAGTTGGACTCAGTGTCAGTGAGAGGGACACAGCGTTCATCTACCAGCCAGATGTGGGTGTGCTTCCATGGGAAGGCGTAGTGGTGTCTTGCCAGCCGCTGGAATAGGACCACTGGGCTGGAGCCACCTGAGAGGGCCAGGTGGAACTGCCCAAACTGTGCCACAGTCCTGTGTGCTGTCTTCTCAATGTCAGAAGCCAGTTGGGAAATCAGCTCCTCAGACCATGCTGAGACCAGGGGACTTTGCCGAAATTTGGTCTGGATTGTCTTGTAATCACTTGGCATCAACCTGTTGGGGTTCAGCAGCTCCACTGGCTCCACCAGTGTGAAAGCCACTTCATCGCTCACCATCTCAAAGTCTAAGAGGTGCTGGTTCTCCACACCCCCAGGGTAGAGGCGCAGGGGCTGCTGAGAAATGCTGTCCAGCAGTGGTGTCCAGAATCCCCAGGAGGCCAGCAGGTTCTCAGTGGTAATAAAGAAGTCCTTCCTGGCATGGTAGATGTTGGAGATGAGGACTGAATACGCATCCCTCTCTTTCACAGGGGTGTACACATAATAATCAGACAATGGTTGTCCAAAAACGTGCAGGTCTGACTGACCCACTGCTGCTCTCCAGCTGCCTTCTGGCATGATGGGCCTGAAAAGGTTCCTGCTCACAAGGACCGCAGGGGTGTTGAGGGCACCGTGCCCAATGTAGAAGATGATCTGCTTGGTTTTACACTGGCTGTGCTCTGCGTCCCTCAGAGTCTCGCTCTGGGTACAGTAGGCCCGGTTCTTGAAGAGAACACGCACATAACCTACCCGTTCATCCAGAGCTTTCCCAGAGGTGAGGAGGAAAGGGACCCCTTCCCAACGCAGGCTGTCACTGTGAATCAGCACACCTGAAATGAGACTGAACTCAGTACCAAATTAAACCTGATTTGAGGGGATCTTGACCACCTACCCACCATTCTCCCTCCTTAGCTCCCAGAAATCTTGGCATCCACTATGTCTCTTGCTCCACATTCAGCCCTTCACTGGGCATACTGCTCTCCAGCTACCCTCCTGTGCTTCCTCCCAGGTATCCTACTCAATTAGCCTCCTTTCATCTTGCAGGAAAACAGCTTCTGAGCACAAATCTCATCCAGACAAAATCTTTAATGTTTAGAAGACACAGCACGGCCAGAGATGGTCTTGTGGTCTACTCATCACAGAGAACTGCCAATACTTTACCCCTCAGATGCAGAGAGCAATTTGACTTTATGAAAAGGCAAAGCAGTTTACAGTCTACTTCTAAAAATAACACCGAGATCTTATCAAGAATAATGGGACTTAGCTCTTATGCAATGCTTCCCATTCAGTGGATCATCAGTTAACTAACACGACAACACTATTATCTTGTTACAGCTCCCAGTCGACATGCTGGTGGATGCCTGGAGACATCCCTGTGTCAACAGTGAGACCCAGAGTCATGGAGCTGGTACCAGCATATGAGGACTCAAATCTACTACTCCCCTCTCCAGGGCCCAGACCAAACTCTCACCTGCGAAGGTTGGTGTTGTGCTGATGTAGTCTCGTGCCTTCTGCAGTTCCTCCTGCACTTGGCTGGCATATGCCTGATACTGACCCAACACGACGCTCTTCTTCTCCAGGCCCCGCAAGGACTGGAAGGCCCGCAGCTTGCTCTGCAAAACCTCTTCAGTCTTGTTCACATTGGCTGGGAGCTCCATGATCAGGAACATCAGGGCCTCTGTGAGGTGGTTCTGCAGCACATCCCGGATGACTCCATACTGCTCGTAGAAGCTGGTGCGGCCTAAGGACAAAGAGGAGGTAAGATGCTGGTGAACTGATGCGGTTTTCTCACAGCCTTACACTCAGCACATATAATGTGTGCCAAGGAGCACAAAAAGCACAAGCCCTAATTGGTTTGCACCAAGCTCCTCTTCTCCTGGCCCAACAATTAAATTGAAGCTATCAAGCTCAGAGAAGCTGTGGATATCCCATCCCTGGACATGTTCAAGGTCTGCTTGGATGGGGCTTTGAGCAACCTGACCTAGCGAAAGATGTCTCTGCCCGTGGCACCGGGGTTGGACAAGACGATCTTCAAAGGTCACTTTCAACCTAAACCATTCTACAATTCTCTGATTCGAAGCCTTTCCTCTCCCTCCAGAGGGGCTTCCAAAGTGTCTCCACTATTAAAATAAAGAGAAAAGGTTCCCATGGATTGCTTGTTCTCCACAGACCCAGACATAATCCTCCTTTTGGGTGCTTACAGGACCTAAACCCATCAGGAGGAACGCTCTTGCCTGATACTTCCCGAGCGTAGAGAGCAGAAGGCAGCTTTGCTTTCTTGGACTGCTTGTATCTTCAGAAGCTGTGGTCAGTGCCTGGCACCAACATCCAGCTCAGACCTCCCAGATACAGCACGATGCATGGCCCCAGCATAACCCTCGCCCTGACGCTCCTGCCCCACAGGTCACAGCACCTGGGCCTGGGACTCCACACAACGTGCGGTTCTACCCAAAAACTTGGACAGGGTAGCTGGTCACAGCAGGGACCCCAGCAGCTCTACAGCTACACACCAGGTCCCCAGAACAACTGAGTCTGGGCCATGGCAATGAGCACTGCCTTCTTCTCTGCCTCTTTTCTCCTGGTTTTCCTGTCTTCAGAAGGCTCTGGCTGGGCCATGCCCTTGAGAGACAAGATCTCATGCACAAAGCCCTGCTTCTCTTTCCCTGCCCAACTTCTCATGCCGGTGGGAGCAGGGGCAGAAGGACAATGCACTTATAAAGAAAGTGACTCAAACAGATGCCTTTCTGAGGTCCGTCAGCAGCAGGCTGCACACTGCAGGCTACATCACAGCCATAGGCTTCCCCTATTGATTGATCCATCTATCTCCCTTGCTCTAATCCAAAGGCACATTCATTAACGTAATCAATGCTGCAGACTTGCTGGGAGCCAGGCTGCCAGCTGAAGCTGCACAGGGGAAAAAAAAGACGTCAAATGAAAAATTACAAAGCTGTTTAGAGGAGGGAGGCTGCAGGTGGGGCTACGCACAGACAACGCTTCTCCCTAAATCCCTCTGCAGCGCATCCCTCTCCCATAAACAGGCCCAGGTGAGGTCCAGGCTGCCACACCAAAGATGACTCCAAGTTTGATAAAGTTGCAATAATTGAGTTTGTGGATAATTGAGGAAGGGAGGGAGGGAGACAGACAGACAGAAGAGGAGGTAAAGCGAGCGGAGCAGCAATCCTGATGTTGCAGAACTGAGGGCGCCTGACATCCCCAGAAGTGCTGCGGGTGGCAGTCCAGCCCCGAGTGCTTTATGCTGAGCACTGCAGAGCGGCTGCTGCAGCATTGCAGGGAGGGATTGCAGCCGTGTCCTTCAGCAGGAGACCCATGCTAGCATCTCTGGGCTTGGATTTTCCCCCTGCAATGCTCTTTCTTACTACAGAGAGGAAGGGAAAGAAACAGGCAGACGAACACAGACTGACCTAGGTACCTGGACTGACACCATCTAGGTGATACTAGCAACATCCAGGCAAAAGATGCAGGAGCATCTTCCAAAGAATGGTGCAAATGTATGCTCAGTGTGAGCTTGGAAGCTAACAAGACAGGGTTATTATTATTTGTTGTTATACAGACTGACCTAGGTACCTGGACTGACACCGTCTAGGTGATATTAGCAACATCCAGGCAAAAGATGCAGAAGCATCTTCCAAAGAATAGTGCAAATGAGCTTGGAAGCTAACAGGACAGGGTTACTATTATTTATTGTTATTACAAAAACCAGGTTATTGCAGCACTGAAGCCACCTTAGGCTGCATCAATTCCAAATCCAGTTCCTTTTACCAAGACTTGGGATAGAAAGCGAGGTGCAATGCCCCCAAAGCTCTGCAGCAGAAAAAGGCAGGGAATTCCACGCCTGCTCCTGGCTGAACTGCAATGGGAACCTTTTCCTGGAAGCAGTAACACTACCTGAAAGTGAGTCAGTTCCTCGCATAGGAAGTGTAAGAGAGTCCCTCTCAGCTCTTTTTTGTTTCTGCACTACTTCAAGGGCCACTTTCACATAATTAACCCACCGGTTCTCCTTCTCACTCCTTCACCCCAGCTCTGCACACTCATCTCACCAACCTTTAGCATCCACAGTCTCTTTCAAGACAATCTCCACTCTTTCCACATGATGACGGTTCCAAATTGGATCCAGAAACTTTCGGTTCTGATCTCGAAAAGGCAGGATATGGGCTACAGCCTGTGAAGGAAAAAAAAATAAAAAAAATATCAAAGACCCAATAAAAACTCACCATATTTCCACAGCATCTCTGTCTCACCCAGCTCGGGGATGTGGCAGCTCTGGAGTGCCAGCTCACACACCACACAACAGAGAGCAGAGTGGGTCAGAGAAGAGAAAAACCAGCAAGAGAGTCTGCAGTGATGCACAACAGGGTCTCCAATGACTGTATGGAGCAGACATCAAAAGTCTTTCTGAGGCATTCTTAGGTTTCCTGTGAAAAAGGCTGAACTACAAACTGCAAGACACTCAGTTCATATCTGTCAAAGGACAAAGGGCTGAGTCAGACCATCCTGGAACTTATGTACAGTTCCAAAATGCTGAAATACATTAGATCAGGTGCTTACACCACTAAAGCCATCTCCTTTTTTTGGAAGAAAAAAAAAAAAAAAGAGAAGAAATCCCCCCTCTAAGTAGAGATGCTCTCCTTGCAGCTGGACATGCAACCTTCTGAGTAAAATCTGGCCACAGTGCCATGGCTGGAACAGGCTTCTTTCAAAATGTGATATCACGCTTCTCTAAAACAAGGATGGTGTGTCCTTGAACACGTTCCCTCTGGGACAATGCAGCTACACATCCTGCAGCAGCCAGTCCTCCATGCCCCGAAGTGGAGCACAGAGCATGAAGAAACCTTCTCCTAAGCATCCCGCAAAACTAACATCCCATCAGCTCCATATCAAATTAAAAAAGCCTGCTTCTAGAAGCCATGGCTAAGCAGAGAGGCCTCTGTGTAATGAGATGGGAGAACTCCAAGAGGGAAAAGGCGCTGCTTATTCAGCGAAATCAAAGCTCTGACCTTGGTGAAAGATCGGATGAATTTTGCTTCTCTTCTTCATGCACACACACAGCTCACCCCTACAGCTTCCCTCTCGAGAGGGGACCCTCATCACTCTAAGGGGAGAAAGCCCCTGCTCTGCTCTGCACATCTCTGCTCTGTGAGAGGATGGACAGCAGCATGGGACAGGACAAGAATAACAGGACAGGCCTCCATAAGTAAATGGAGGTTTGGGAGCACACTCAGCAGCTCTGCCTGAATTTGAGAGGGGAACAACCCTCTCGTTAGATGTAGAGCTGACACCCAACACTCCCCCAGCCACTAAGTCCCTCAGCCTGGCACAGGGCTGCACGTTGCAAGCTGCTCACCTGTTTGCCAAGGTAGTGGTCCACCCGGTACATCTCCTCTTCCTTGAAGAAGCTGGTCAGCTCTCCAGCCAGCTGCTGGGCTGACTCCAGGTCATGGCCAAAAGGTTTCTCCAGCACCACACGCAGCCAGGCTCCTGGAGGTGGTCTGCAGCTGCTGTTGATGTGGCGGGCAATCTCTGTGTAGGCAAATGGTGGTACTGAGAAGTAGAAGATCCTTCCAGCCTCCTTCAGCCCCTCCTGGCGAAGCATCGTCTTGATCTCTGTGTTCAGCACAGTGTAGTTTTCGGCAGTCTTCAGCTGGTGGTATTGGCTCAGCTTCAGGAATTGGTCCTTGAGCACAGCACATCTGTCGGGGGATTCATCCGGGGGACAGGACAGCTTCTTCAGCACATCAAACATCAGCCTCTGCCCCGGCTCCAGCGCTGTCAGAGCAGCCCCATGGAAAGTGAAGCTGTGGCCGCTGCTCACTTGGTCGATGTAGAGTTGGAACAGACCCTGCCACAAATACTTCTTGGCCAAATCACCCGTGGCTCCCAGTAAGATCACTGAGATGTGGCCTTGGGACACCTCAGCCAGTGATGGCAAGGCTCCCACGAACAACACTGTACACAGGACTCTCCTCAGCATCTTGGGAGAGAAGAGGTAGACTCAGGAACACTAGAGGACAGGATTAAAAAGGAAAGTCTGTCAATCAATGTTACAACTGCAAAACACAGTTCCCTGGAAAAGCCAGGGACTTCTGCCTGGATTCTCCACCCAACAGCCTCCTCTCCTCCCCTCCATGATATGAATCATGGTAGCGACTGGGGCTCTTGGAAAGACAGCAGCCTCCTTACACAAACCAAGAGGTGGAAGACAGCGTGTGCCTGAGGTCTTTTGGTAGCACAAACGCTGCTCTCACAGCTGAGTTAATGAGTGGGTGTCAATGCCTTTAGACTGTGAAACTGTAATCCTTTTTAATACAATTTTCAGGGCTGGCTACAAACACATGTGCCTGCAAATTAAATACCGCTTTCAACAGCCTCTTGTTTGGGACTTTGCTCAAATGGTATTATGCTGCCTTGGCATTGCTTCATGTCAATATTGTCACAGCAGCTCAGAGACAAGCACGACCACTGGCAGTTCCAGGACACGGGCTCTTCTTTAACACACCGTGCTTTAATTACTTATATGCACCACCACGCTCATGAACAGAGCTGAACGAGGTTCTAACGAGCTACTGGGAGACAAACGGCCTGATAAAACAACTCAGGGAAAGAAGTTTAGCCCTTAAAACTGAGTCTAGACATGAGCCAGTCTAGAGGCTGCCTCGTGATGGTTGTGTACGTGGCCAGAAGACAATGTGGGGTTTGTGTTCTGCCTCCTGCAACTTTCCATCACGTGTCAGCACCCGTCCTGGCCTTCTCCACTCAGTACCCATTCAAACCACTGCAGCCAGTAGCAGCTGGTCTCCCTGACCAAAAACACCCTTGGCTCTTATTTATTCTTGTTTCCCAAATTCGAAACAAATTTGTTTTTAAGAAAAATGACACATTAAGTTCTTATACCTAGAAACACGGCAATGACTGTACACCTCAAGGGAGATAATCTGGAACAAGTGAATAAACCATTGTGCTTTTCTCATTACATCAAGTATTATTTCAGAAGCTCTTACACTGGTGATCTCATTCTCTTAATTTCATTTTCTGAAGTTGTGTTTAGTTGGAGCACAGCTTTCACAGCACACAAGATAATTAACTTCTTTTAAAACTTTTGGTTCTGGTCAACAAATTTATACCTTTTAATTTCACCTGTGTAGGAAAACCGGCCATTTTTTGACAGTAAGAGGAAAAAGCACATGGCTTTTTTATTGTGGTATAGTTGCAGCCTCACTAGGCTTTGCACTGGCATGATTACACCACTTTAAAATGGATGTTTTATGACCATACAATTTCTGAATATCTCTCCCTCTTTGCAGCTCGAACTGGTCTTTACAATAACTTCAGATTTCTCTCCCCAGCAGACTCACCTGGGTAACACGGATGCTTTGCAGAGACTGCAGTGGCAAAAGTAGCTGGAAATTTGTCGTCTTCACAGCCCCTCCTGAGCACAGATCTCTCTTCTCCTGTGTCTGAGTGTACGGCAGATTCTCTGATCAATGGTCAGGTGAGCAAGCAAGATAAGGCAGAGTGTCCCCTTTCTGGTAAATGAGGGAAAAGACCCAATTATAGCAGAGAAAAAAACGAACATGCCCGTGCCAGCAACCTCCCAGCACATCCCAGCGCTCAGCCCATACACGTTGGCTGCTCTGAACCTTTTGGCTGCTGTTTGCCAGCAGGCAAAACGCAGGTCCACGTGGCAAGCCCTGCTCCCAGAGCGTCTTCCTGACTCACTAACTCCTCCGCCTTGCATGCGAGCTCACAACGATGCTGCAGGTCTCCAACCCAGACCCTTGTGAGCATCCCTGGGAGCAGTCCCCCGCTCCAACCCTAAGAAAGGGCTTCCCTAGACTGCAACCCTCATGCGGTGAGAAGGGGGCAGTTTTGGTGAGCCCCCCTAGGAGGGCAGGATGGCACATGTCCCGTCTGCTGCTGCAGTGCCTTCTGGGCACCCAGCCTTCCCTCTGTCAGTTTGCACAGAGGCTCCTTGGCTTTTCCTTCCCTGTTTCCTGCACAGAAATCACACAGCAGCTGAGCATCAGTCAGCCAGCCACAACTGCTGCCCGCTCTGCTTGGCCATCGGGCAAGGAGACAGCTCAATGTTCCCCACAGGACACATCACTCCCTCAAGAGATGGTCCAGTATCCACTGCTCTTCTCCAGAGAGCTTCAACAAGGTAGACTGTAGTCCATAAATCTAACTCGTATCACCTCTCCCCAGCCCTCTGTTGTGACTGCCTCCCCTCCCTCTTTTCTCACTGTCCTGTATAAACTCCAGCAAATAGTGCTGGCAATGGCAGAGGGGCAGAAGTGTGACTCCTAAGATTTTGCCTGCAGTATAAATAATTATCATTTTTAGCAGAGGTTTGGTTTTCCTTCCCCCACTACGGGATTATAAAGCAGATGACCAAGTTTCTCAGTGCAATAAAGTACTATTTACATTTGCTTGAGCAACCTTTGCTCCAGGAACCTACTCGAGTTTGACATAGTGCCCGTTGCACCTTGGCAGGGTGCAGATGGCCACGCTCTCCAGAGACCCCAGCTGAAGAGCAGGTACCTGCTATGGAATGGGAAGGGTTTGGGTGGGTCATCCTCTCCCACAAACTCAAGGAAATGAGTGAATTACCCAAGCAGTTTCCTGGCAGATTCAGCTACAGGCACATGTGTTTCCAAACCAACTGAAAACCAGTTTCACGACACTCCCAGTTGCAAAACGTTGTACTACACTGCCCAGAATAAGGGCAGTAAAGCCAGGGAGGTGTGTTTGCTGCTTTCATATCAGATACTCATCACTGCTCACACTAAAAAATAAAACTCCAAGAATTCCCCAGCCAGACTGAACAAAGTTACTCGGTCAGGCCTGGGGAGAAGGCTCCTGGGCCTGATCCATGTAAAACACTGGAGGAGTTTAACCCAGCAGTGAGGCTGTGCATTCCCTCACACGGGCACCAGAGCTCCAGTCTGATGGGAGCTCATTTCAAGTGTTGTAAGCTCCCCTGCTGTATGGAAAAGATGAAAAAAGCCCTTTTTTGTTACTGGTGCATCCCCATTAGCAGACACACAGCCAAGGGTGGCCTGGGGCTCCTACAAGGCACGTGTGACACCAAGGGAAGAACTACCAAGACTCTTGGAGGATCAGGAACAGCGTATTGGCCTCCTGCACGTGCAAACATTAGAGCAGGAACGACCCCACCACCAGCTCCTGGGAAGGTCAGAGGTTTCAGGTGGACACTCACGTTAAAAGCAAGCGGAGAGACCCAGGAATTAGCTCTTGGCCTTTCTCATTAACCACCCAGCGCAGCTGTGATGGACGGCCCCTCTCCTAAGCAGCTCTGGCCGCAGCAGCTCGGTCTCCGACGCCCTGGAGAAGCAGGAGGACACGGTCACGGCCAGAAGAACGCCCACGGTGAGGGGTACCCCCCTCCGCCACCCGGCCCCCAGCCCCCCGGGGGCTGTACACACCGGGGGGGGACACCCCAACCTCATCAGTCACCGTCCCCAGGCCGTCCAATGCCGGTCTCCTCCCGCTTCCCGGAGAGCCCCCTCTGAGCATCCCCCCGCCGCGGACACGGGTGGGCGAGCGGGGCGAGCGGCCGCGCTACCGGCCCGGCGTGGGAGGGACGGGAAGCGGGGAGGGCACCCTACGGCAACGCCACGCACCCCGGGGGAGACAGGCCGTCCTTTCCCGGGACAGGGGGGAAGCCATCTTCCCATCTCCTCCATCCTCCTCCGCCCCTCGGCCCGGCCCGGCCCGGCCCGGCCCCGCCGCCCCTCACTCACCTCCCTCCCACCCGCCAGCGGGGCGGCGGCGGCGGCGGCTGCGGGCGGGCCCGACACAACGACCCGCCCCCCCCAGGGCTCCTCCCACCGCCCGCACGTTCTGCGGTTCGCGTCCGCTCTGCCGGGTAAAGGCGCTCGGGAGGGGAGAAAAATACCAATATCTCAGGGTTACAGAGTCACAGAGTCACAGAATCTTCATGGTTGGAAAGGACCTCTGAGATCACCGAGTCCAACCACACACACACACAAAAGACCCCCACAATCTCAGGCACTAGAGCACGCCCTGAAGGACATGGACCGGCTGGAAGAGGTGCAGCCGAGGGCCATGAAGATGATCAGAGGGATGGAGCACCTCTCCTATGAAGACAGGCTGAGGGAGCTGGGATTGTTCAGCCTGGAGAAGAGAAGGCTCCGGGGAGACCTTATAGAGGCCTTTCAATACCTGAAGGGTGCCTACAGAAGAGCTGGAGAAGGACTCTTTGCCAGGAAGCGTAATGATAGGACAAGGGGAAACGGTTTTAAATTGGAAGAAAAAAGATTCAGATTAGATCTCAGGAAGAAATTTTTTACTATGAGGGTGGTGAGACACTGGCCCAGGTTGCCCAGAGAAGCTGTGGCTGCCCCATCCCTGGAGGGGTTCAAGGCCAGGTTGGATGGGGCTTGGAGCAACCTGGTCTGGTAGGAGGTGTCCCTGCCCAGGGCAGGGGGTTGGAACTCAATGATCTTTGAGGTCCCTTCCAACCCAAACCATTCTGTGATTCTATGATTCTATGATAATTATGGATTCCACCAGCTCCCCATAAAGCAACACATAAAATTAAAATGAATATTAAAAACTCCGTTGTTAAGAGTCCTGGCCAGCCAGACTTCATAGAGACCATCTCAGACTTCGGAAAATGCTGTGGTTTTGCAAATCATGACTTGTATGGCAACAGCAAGAAGTTGTAAACACAGTTAAGTAGCTATAATTGTATCCCATAATAAATGACATTACGCGATATGGTACCACTAAACACTATTCCTATTGTCTTTTTCACTCAAAGGCCTCAAATTATTTTACACAAGTAGACACCTTTCACCACAACTACTTTACAGATGGAGAAACGGAGTCACGTTGGCAGAACTGAGAACAGAATTGGGGTACTTGCTGCTCAGGACATCATCTAGCAATGACATGATAAATAAGGCAAGTCTTGCATCACATTTGTGATACAACTTTATATTTACAGTATAATTTCTTGATGCCATAACCTTCCTCACCAGTCCATCCCGGAGGTTCTTCCTGGAAGAAAGGGTCTCAGAAAGACCCTGTATGGCATTGCAAAGGTGTCAGAGAGACACAGAGTGTTAGCACCTGGGTTTGTTTGCAAGATCCGGACCCAAATTAGGGAGGAGGGAGGCAGCAGTCTGCCCTGCCTCGCATCACACATCGCTTTATGATTCTGACCACATCACTAATGCAGCTTTGGGTTGGGTAAAGCCTGAATGCCTCCAAGAGCCGCCCTATTTCTGAAACCCAGCAGAGGGGAGATCACAAGCACAACTCAAGTGATGAAATTCAACAAATTAAACTTGGTGAGGGGGTAAATAACTCATCTGAAAGAGCCAGCTGGACAAATAATCCAGCTCCAGAGATCTCCCCTTACCACTCTGTGTGACATTACTACACAGTACATTTAGCAAGAAGCTTAGGGGAATCAGTGCTATATCCCATAGCTATGTATTTAACCCATTAATGGCCTGATGACAACTTTTTTTAGCTCTCAAAGCTAGTCTGGGTCTGTTTGGGTTCAGCAGACTGTGGGAAGAGGTAAACAGGAGTCCCCTTTTACAGTCTGTTTTCTGTTCTGGAAGAAAAAGGGGGTTTGCCATCTACTTTAGCAGAAATCATTAAAGTGCAGATCTCCCTGCTGCATATTTCTGGCGCATTGAATGAGATGAACAGCTGAGGCCCTGGTCACTTGAGCCTGTTATTATTATAGATAGAGCTGGAAGTTGGGAGTAACAGCAGTTGTTTAACATCTTCTATTGAGAGACCATGTTTTCAGCTAGTTATGTGATGCCAAACTAAATATTGAGGCTGAGATTGTGTGTGGGGTGTATTCACCCTGTGCAGTGATTTTTTGGAAGTCTCTGAAAAAAATGGTGCAGCTATTTCTGAGCTGAAGGTCAGAAGATAAAATAGGTTTTTTGACCATGTTAAAAATATCTCTGCTGTTTCATTAAGGAGCTCTAACATCTCATAATTTGGGGCAAGTAAGATTTTATCAGGATGATGGTTTGGATCAGAATGTGCTTTTCTCAGAAGAAGTGTGCTCTTGTCAGTGCCTTTTCAGACTTACTCAGTTGCATGCTCCTTTAAGGGAAATAGGTCCAGTGTGACAGATGAGACATGTGATGCCAATAAAGGAATAAAAGGTAGTTAGCAAGGGAAGGGGCATTAAGAAGCCAGATGTTCTACGAGCAAATAAAAAGCTCTATAGGAAAAAGAGCTGTTCTAGTTGGTATTTAAAAGTGGTGTTTTGGAGGAGGTATTGAGCTGGAGAGAGTAACTTATCAGCTGTGGGACTCTAGCCTATAAATCCCAGGTAAAGGCTGCATTTGGATATGGCAAGGGAAAGCTGTTCCCTACTAAGTGGTTCTTTAGTTAGGCATGGAGAAAAACAATATAAAAAGTGAGCTTGGTGTAGTGAGAGTTTGTTGCCCTTTGGTGTTGCGTTCACAGAGTAGTCTCAAGCTGTGGAGAGGCAAAACTGAGCCAGGATGTGGTTTGTGCTGCTTTGAAGAGGTAAGGTGTGCTTCAGTATAGTGAGCTCGTGATGAAGTCATCTAGAGGAACCTTGCCTGCTCTCTGCCAAATTTATTAGTCTCTGCAAAGGCATCTCCTGCCAATGATGTGGCTGTAAGGGACCGAGTAATTTCTGTGGATGCTTTATCATTCCTTAGCTCTTGTGTGTTGTTTCATGAGCTGGGAGCCCTGCTTGGTCATGCTGCTGCAGAGCCTGCCGGAGCTCGGTCTGTCGCTGTGCTGACAAGCTTCCAGGAAAGCTCTGAAGTTCTAGACTATCAAGTTCACATGATTTTGAGTAAGGCTGTTAACTTCTGCTGTGAAGCAATAAGGAACAGCTGTACAGCAGCTGGGGTTCTTAAAAAGTAAAATTACTGTCTTGTGGCTTCTGGAAAAACCAGACTGTAAAAATCATAACAGCAGTTCCTAAACCGGTGTGAGAGAGAGTAAGAAAGAGGGGCTTTGTTATGGCTATTGGGGCAAGTCAATGACTCTGCTACTTGATGATTTCTGGAGCTGCAGTTTTGCTTGAGGTTGGTTTGTGGTTAAGCATGCTCCCTTCAATGGGCCTGATAGAGGAAATTCTCCAATCCAGGTTAGGTTTAAATTTAGATGCATGTGCCTGTTCAGTGTGAAACAATGTCATCTCTGTTCATCCCAAAGAACTATGTTTAGAGGCTGGAAAGCTGATCTACACAGGAGCCTTGTTGTAGGGATGGCAGGTGATGCTCCCGAGACCCAACTACTCTGATGTTCTCTCTGGACAGATTGGCTTTTAAAGAGCTTAGCATCAAACTAAAGCTGAGACGTTCCAAGGTGAGAGAGTATTAGAGTAATGCTGCCTCTGGAAAGCTTCTCTTCCTATTGTTTGTCGATTTTCCTTTTCAAACTGTAGCTTTTAAGCTGTGGAAATCATGTCCAGGGAGTGCCTCGCAGGTGTGCAACTTGAGTGGGGCAGGAGAGTGTCTTAATGCAGCTGACTTGCCGTGAAGCTGGAGTGAATGGCATTACCAGCTAATTCAATTATCTCTCTGCTGCTATCCCCCACCAGCCATGGGACTGAAACATGGCTTTGTGCCTTGCTGTAAAGCTCTGTCACCAGGACTGGATGAGTTCTTCAGCAGCGTTGCTGCAGTGGTGATGCAGTCAGTCTGCCATCCCGCAGCAACCAGGATGCAGCTGCAACGCAAAGTCCCTATGAAACAAGGGGATGGGGGAACCAGTGACAAGGGGAAAGGAGTTGGGGGGGTGGGGAGGAGCAGGAGAGCTGATCTTCACCGAGTACTCGACCGAAATCAAAACAGAAGTGATCAATCAAGTAAGCTGTGCCTACTTTCTGCCTTCTGTTCTAACAAAGCGATGCTCTCATCAGCTTGATCAGCAGATTAAAGTGCTGGCATCTTCCCCAGGAATTCTTGCACTGGGACAAGCTGCTTTCAGTCCCCTGTTCACTCTTGGGGTAAATGAGGAAGGAAATGGAAGTTATAGGCTAAGCATACTGTTTCTTCATTGTAATGTACAGAAATACTAACTTCCTCTTGTGCCTGAGGACACAGGCAGCCAGGCAGCTTTGCTGAGCTTTCAGTAGCCAAAGACACTACTTGTGGCTCCTGAGGACCTCTTTGTGCATTAACTGAGAGTAGGTTGTACCTGTCTGAGAAAAATAGCAAACCAACTACTGATTCCCTTTGTTGTAGATACGTGGAGATGGACTAAAACCTGTCTGCTCAAAGCAAAGGTGGTTTCACTGATGAAGTGATTGCCTCTTCTGCCCTTGCTGTTAGCTGATTCGGAG